ACTTTGCGTGGCTTGTTCATGACAATGACCTCGTTAAAATTTTAATCCATCAATAGCAATGGACATATATCAGGTCGCAGTCTACATAAACAAATTGACTTGATCTAAAAGTATTGCTTCCACAATCCATAGCTAATTAGACTAGCTACCCACCTTTAAGAGCCTATATATTAAGAGCTAACTATTGAGATGCAAAGAAAATTTTCTCATCATATTTGATTGAAATTAATTTCCTCATCAAATTTGATTGAAATTAATTTCCTCATCAAATTTGATTGCTAAACCAGAACCTACTACAAGGATTTATTTCCAGTTCTACAAACACTACCTACAAGCATGTTACCTAACACCTGATCCCATCTGAATAATCTTTACAAATTTGTTACCTACTACATTTTATAAAGAGATGGTTGCATGATGTTGAAAGCAGCATTCATTATTCTTGTAGTTTTTGGGATGAAAAATATAATTATTCCTCTTCTATTGCGTAAGATTCGGTTACAAGAAAAATACTCGGTTACAAGAAAAATACAAGGGAAGGGCACCGCATTAGAAAAGCAACAAAACCCTCCTGCTAATAAAAAGAAATAGAAATTAGCATCAATGGCTAATTCAAAAAAAGTAGAAACTACTAAAAATAAATAATAATGATTAAAAATTAAATATATCAAAAGGGGAAATTCCAAAAATTCTGACACCCTCCCTCAAGTTGGAGCATAGATATTTATCATGTCAACTTGCTTACAAAGAACTCAAAACTAGGTCTGGAAAGTCCTTTGGTGAAGATATTTGCTATTTATTACATTGTGAAGCGAAGGGCATGCAAATAGCTCCACAATCAATCTTCTCTTTTATGAAATGTATATCAATCTCCACATGTTTTGCCTAATCGTGTTACACTGAATTTTCTACAATATTTATGGCAGTTTTATTGTCACAATACAACTTCATCGGCATGTTTATCGGGATTCGTAGTTCTTCAAGAATCCACTTCAGCAATAACATCTCATATTCTCCATTAACCATAGCTCGATATTTTTTCGTCGGCACTACTCATTGCCATAATATTTTATTTCATACTTTGCCACGTAACCATATTTTCCAAGACACAAGTACAAAATTCGGAAACTCTCATATATTATTTTTGTAAATTATTTCTTTTTATTCTCATGCTTGTCATTTCCCTTGAGGGAGCGCTTTTTTAAATCAATATCAATATATGTCCGGCTTAGATAAAAAGATATATACTATTTTCAATATGTTGTATGAGAGGATCACATTTGGCATGATAAAAGATCTCTTTGAATTTAAAAGACGCATCCAATAATGAACATGATCCTTTGATAAGAATATTTTAGTCTCAACAAAGCTGAAGATGCCTGACCAACATTGCAAAAATCAATAAGTTTGATTTAATTACAAGCCACTTAAGCTCAACTAATATCAATATCAATGATGAAGTTTGTGCATTGAGCTTGTTATTATCACAACAAATAAGTTAGGTTGGTACAACAGCAACTATAAATAGTGCATGTAGGTCTATGAAGTTGAATCTCAATATTCGTAATCTCATATTAAGATAGATATTAGAAGATGACAATCAAGTGAAGGATCCTTTTTTTGACGCTTCGCATCATGAGAACAAAGAAAAGAGACAGCAACAAAGGCAGATCTAAACCTCAAGAGATTAGTCAATCACAAGGTCACAACAATGTATGCTTGAAATGTGATAAGAGTGAACACATGTAGAATTGGCAAGCAAAAGTTCAAATTAAATGGAGGAATTTATGGATTGAACAAGTGAAGAGATTGATGATACATTAATCATTAATGTTGATGGTCCTATGAAATTTTGGATCTTTTTATTCAGCTCCAAATAAAGAATTCATAGCTAATTTTTTTGCAAAAGATTGAAGACAATTCATATTATAATGGTGAAATATTGAAAGGCATGGCCAATGAGAATTAGAGATGTACAAATCAAAATTAGAAATAAGGCAAGGCTAAAATTCTGTAATATGAGGAGAATTCCTAATTTGAAAAGAACGCTAATCTCAATTCGACAACTTGATGAAGAATGTTACATCACAATCTTAATACAACAACAACAACAAAGCCTTAATCCCATTACATGGGGTCGGCAAAATGAATCCTTTTCCTCCATTGCGTCCTATTTAGTGTTAGATTTTCATTAATTTCTAGTAAATTAAGAACACTTTTAATACAGTAAGCCTAAGCCTTCCTAGGTCTATCTCTGACTTTCTTAACACAATCTTAATGAAGAAAAGAAAAGAAATCATGTAAGATTCAATTTTTTTCCCTTTTATTTTCTTTCTCCACACATTGTTGTATTCCCGATTTGGTAGTCCCGAACAACATGATTTCTTTCCTTTTCTTCCTCTACTCCTTACCGCATTTCCGATTTGATGGACTGCACTGATCCTTCACCTCTATTTAAGAAAATCGCAAGGATCCGACTTCACAACCCTTCACAACCCTCCCCTCCCCTAATCTTTGAACCTCCTCCTCACTCTCTCTCGGTTTCGCCCTAAATCATCGCCTAATTGACTGAAATCTTGCGATACCATCACAATTAAAGCTAGTTGAGAAGGCAACAGTGGGATCGTGATGAACAGAGACCATCAAACTCTACCTTCCTCCTCCCTCCGACCCGCTACTATCTGAAACCTTTGAAGAAGGTGACATTCTAAAAAATCGCCGGGTTTCCTTAGGTTAGTATTGATCTTCCCGGTTTCAAAACGTCTGTTAAAACCATATATATATTGAAGCTGAATAATAAATACTTGTTAATTTATGCACAAGTAAAATTTGATTTGAAATAATTGCATTTTTTCTTAAGATAATTGGGCTTATTTTGCTTAACACACTTGTTGTCTTAAGATGTTATATAAGTACATAGTAGTTGTTCCTATTTATTGTTCATATTGCATACCCAATTTTTCTTCTCGTTTTTGTTTTGAAAAATAGCTATTATTTTGAGTTGTTTTGTCCAACTCATTTGTTGATATTTTTGCATAACATTTTTTATCTAGCCACTAACAGAACTGTCTCCATCGGAGCAGACCTTTCAGTTTTAGATTTCTTATTTTTAATATTTCTCAATATTTAAATAATTGTATTTTCATTTTGGGTCTGGTTAGTCATTCCATATTATCATTTCAGTTTTGATTTGGTTGGTTTTTTTTTGTCTCTCAGGTGTATCAGTGGACTATTAATTATGAAATAAAATTTATATTTTCTTCTTTATTTCTATTATTATTTACATAAAATCTTTGTTGGAAAATACAAAACATGTTCAATTCATTTCATCATACCCGATGTTGCCAGAGTTTACCATCTTTCAGACCCAAGGTGTGACAAAGTGGTATCAGGCTTATGTTTTGTATTTAGCATTCCATAACTTTAAAATTCATTTCTCTTTTCTTCTTAGGACTAGGTAGGGGATAGGTTATCTTGTTAATAAGTTATTTAGTCTATTTTTATTTCGCATATATTTTAATTATTTAGAATGACTTCAAAGAAAAGAGGTGTTGCAGCTGCTCGCACAACAAAAGTTCTTGGAGCTACTAGAGAAGTTGTAGCCATCTCTTAAGGACCCCGCTTCCCTAGCCATTGCCATGTTGATCCTGCTCAACTCGTCACGACTACCGTAGCACAACCTCTTAATATGACGACTCTAATATCTTATGATAAGAGTCGTTGGTGAATCAAGAAGACTTGAGCTATGAAGAAGTATCAGACCACATCTTGGAGCGTGAAGTTCGATAGTTTCATCATCGATCTATTCCTTTTGTTAAAGTGCTTTGGAAGAACCAATCAAAACGAGAAGTAACTTGAAAGATTGCCGCAACTATTTCGTAACTAAGGTATGAATTTGGGGATCAAATCATTTAAGGAGGTAATATGTAAAATGCAAAATTTTCTTTCTTTTTATTCTCACTCTATCTGTTGTCTTCCTGATTTTGTCGTCCGAAACCGACATGATTTCTTTCCTTTTTTCTATCTACTCTTTCTCACCTTTCCAATTCGATCAACCGCACCGATCCTTTCCCTCTATTTAAGAGGACCGCAAGGATTAGACTTCAGAAACCTCACGGCTCTCTCCTCTATCCCTCTCGGTTTCACCCTAATCCATCATCTTAGCGACCAAACCTTTGTGATACCATCGCGATTAAAGCTAGTTGAAAAGGCAATAGTAGGATCGTGACGAACAAAAACCACCTAACTCTACCTTCCTCCTCCTTCTGTCCCGGTCCTATCCAAAACCTTCGAGGAAAGTAACCCTCACCTTTCTCCCATATTTTTTCTCTCTATCATGAATGATTTTATTTTAAAATGAATGGCTCCTTAAAGGGCCTAAAAAGGAAGGATAAAAGAAGACAATGGTATCACACCAAGCCATGTGCAGGAGAGAAGTGCAAACCATTATAGATACTGGTATTGGCGAACAAGATAAAGAGTAAAAAAAAAGCGAATAAACAAACCGCCCAACTACATGTCAAAAATAAATCATAACCCTTTATCAAGAGCTTTAAATACAAAATTTGGAGGAGCTTAACAGGAGCTTAAACTTTGTACGCACAAAATGCTCTCTTAATTCTCACTCTTATCCTTTACACAAATGTAGAAAAACCTTCCCAGCAAAAGGAAAATGAATTTTTTCCCCAACCTCTCCTCCCTAACCTAAGCTTCTGCAGTGCTTTGTTGACAGCCAAGTAAAATAAATTCGGTCATGAACTCTGGACCGGATAATCACTGGACCACAATCACATATCACTATCAAAGTGATAAGATATTTTCTAAATAGTTACGAATCAATCAACTCAACATATTAATACAGGCAAATAATCAAATATACACAACCAACGAATGAAACTACATAATTATTTCAATACACAACTGGCAATAAAAAACACTCGTTATTGTATTATATTGAGTATGCGGTGCACAATGAAGCTTCCCTTAACGTAGATTAAAAGTTTCAAACATAATTTTTTTTCTCATTAGCTAATATTGTCATTGGTGGACATCCTTACAATTGGATGAGTTCATCAATATCATTCTTACAAAGTTGGATGAGTTCATCAATATCCTTCACTAGCCAATATTTTCAGGTTCAAACAGCTTAAATAAACTGATAATAATGGCCGTATTACATATATAAGAGTAAGTTTATGTTGTATCAGACATAAAGCCCTTCCAAATGGATAACCGTCACAATTCAATGAGAAATTCCTTCTTCAGCTTCCACAATTTGTATAAGATATTCGTCGTATGCATACCCAAATGTCTCTCTGTTCAAGAGAAGAAGCTACCTCAATATGACCGCAGCATTTCTCAGGGACAGATATCTTTGGACATACTCATTTGGAAGCATTCTGATGCGCTTAAAAACTTCTGGGTTTGCATAACGAAGGTTTGTTCTAGGATCCATGTAGAGTGCCTGCATCCACCAAACTCATTTTAGTGTGCCGAAGTCAATGGAAGCCAGGTTGTCCAGTCTATTCATAAAAATAAAAATCACTTAAAACTTTTTTTTTCTCTTTCAATTCAATCACTCAACCTAAAACTCCATCAAAAACTTTAAAACTGATATGCTGAGATTGATCAACCACAGCAATTCAGTACAAGATATTTTTAAGCCATTTAAGTAAATAAGCAGCAATAAAATATAAGCAAATATATTAAATAAATATACTTCACCAAATATTCTGGACTAGAGTAACAATAAAATAATAGTAAGCATTAATCCCAAAATGATTACATACCTCAAAGCCTGTTATGTCGCAGAATTTCTTTGACGGATACAGCGAAGGAGGAGTCTCAATATTTAAATCTGGCATATTTACAGTGATTGCCAAAAGTCAAAAACTCAAGCACAAAGAAGAATAATGACAGAAAAAAATTACAAAATTAACCCAAGGTTGAAACTAGCCCTACAACGCTCAGAAACTAAATCCAACTGATCTTTTTGTCATTAGACGCTGAGCATAAAAGAGTGGCAGTTTAGAGTCTTGTACAGGCAGTAGTAGTCATACATTTTGGCAAGTACATTTCTATCATGTTCGCAAAATATTCTTACAAAGCGATACTTCATACTTTATTGCCTTGTCGTCCGACATTATTTTTTCCAGCGACAATTCTACTTCATCAGCCTTTAGCCAGGCACATTCCTTCCTATTTAAGCCTATTCCTCCGTTCTTTCCCCCTGCTTCCTATTACAATAAGGTCTCTGTTTTGCTGTGCACTTAACAAATCTATACAACAACAACAACAACAACAACAACAACAACTACCAAGCCTTAATCCCACTACGTGGGGTCGGCTACATGAATCCTTTTTCTCCATTGCGTCATATTTAGTGTCATATTTTCATTTAGTTCTAGTAAATTAAGATCATTTTTAATACAATAAGCCCAAGTCTTCCTAGGTCTACCTCTGTCTTTCTTAGCACAAGTCGAATCTAAAACATCTCCTCTCCTAATCGGATCATCAGATGGTCGACGTTTAATGTGACCAAACCATCTAAGACAACTTTCTCTAATTTTGTCCGTCATAGGAGCTACACCAACCCCATCACGAATATATTCATTTCGCATTTTGTCTCTAAGTGTAAAGCAACTCATCCACCCAATCATTCTCATCTCGGCAACACTTAACTTATTATTATGCTTCTCTTTTAAAGGCCAACATTCAACGCCACAGAGCATTGCAGGTCTCACCACCGTCTTATAAAATTTTCATTTCAGTCTAAGCGGTACTTTTCTATCACACAAAAGGCCCGAAGCATTCCTCCACTTCAACCAACCAAGTTGAATTCTACTATTAACATCCCCATCTATATCACCATCGCTTTGAACAACGGACCAAAGATATCCAAATCATTCACACCTTTTAATAATTTGATCGCCTAAAGTCACTTTTGTCACTAAAGCTATTACTACTAAAATCACATTCCACGTATTCAGTTTTAGTTCTAGTTAAACGAAGGCCTTTAGACTCCAATGTAGACCTCCATAGTTCAAGTTTTTCCTGGGCTTTTTCTCTCGTTTTATCCAAGAGAATGATATCATCAACAAAAAGCATACACCAAGGTACATCCTCCTGTAGATGTCCAATAAGACCATCCATAACTAAAGCAAAAAGATATGGGCTTAAAGCCGATCCCTGATGTAATCCAACAGAAATAGGAAAATATTTTGTCAATCCTCCTTCAGTTTGAACACAAGTAACAACTCTAGTATACATATCTTTAAGGACTTGAATATAAGTCATATCAACACCTTTCTTCTCGAGAACTCTCCAAAGGATATCTCTTGGAACCTTATCGTAAGC